CAAATGTAAAGTCTAACATCCCAGCTATCGAAAGTGAAGAAATTTATAATGCAGACGAAAGTGACTTCAATCTTGAAGTACATTCTGGACGAACAATGGCAAAATCTGGAATGAAAACAGTTGAAACAATAATTCAATCAACGCAATTTTGTTATGTAATAATATTTTAAAGAATAAAACAATTACTACCACTTGAATAGCAATCGAAAGAGTTCTGAATGGTTCAATATCTTCTAGTGTAAATTGCGTCCTGAATGTTGTTATCTTACGGGAAATAATTTTGTATACATTCTTAAATTTCCAAATCATTTACTTGTCTTGAATTTGGATCTACTTGATCCTTTATCTTTTTATCCAAGACCCAAAATTTTGAATTCATGAATAATAGATCTTTTATCACAAGCTTCTTGAAGCTTTTGCAGAACATATTTCGTAATAAATGCAAATTTATCTGTATTTGTTCCACTTTTCTTTATATTGGTTTGGGATCAATAAGACGTTGTTTTGTGATGTTGTATACTATAGCAGTGTAAAAATTGTAAAAACTCACTGCTTTAAAAGGTGATCTATTTTCTGAAATAATGCGTTTTAATCTACCAGAACGAACATCTTTTGTAGTATAGGTTTAAGGTCTTGGAATCTCCCAAAATTGACTATTTCTATAAATGGGTATCTTGAGTATTTATCTACAAGTTGATGATATATATTTATGTTTTGGAAAGGGGCTTGCATTATCAATGTCAAGAATTACAAATGGTTTGTTTGAAATTCCCATTAATTGTAATGGTTCTTGAAAACTCGTGTTGTCAGTAACTTGATGAGCTAGACATTTCCGAATTTCTTGTTTAGTTAATTTCTCGATGTTTGAAACTAAACATTTGATTTTAACAATTGTTTTGTTTTAACAATGTCTTCATGTGCCCAAATGCTCTAAATCGTTTTAAGTTGTAATAATGTTGGGATAACTACTGTTACGTCCGGACCTCAGAATTATATTTAATTTGATAGTTGAGTGAGAGAGTTCCAGAAGCGTCACCGCTCACTGAGCGGTTAGATAGCGGCTATTCGTGAGCGCTCAAAAAGCGGTCTTTCACGTATTGGATATAAGCTCACACGTACATACGTCATCTATTATGGCGTCGTCCATGGTATAAAGTGGAGGTGAAGGTTAATAAAGGATAAGTTTAAATTTTCATAAAATATTAACAATAATGAATCGACAAAATATTGCACTTATTTTTCAAAATATAAGTAATGATGATAACGTTATTGTGCTTGTGTATGTAGTGGTACTTGACAATGAATGCAGGTCTCGAAGGGATCTCCGCGTCCAATAAATAAATAATGACGAAGTTTGAGGATGTAGTGTTCTTGTTTTTCTGGAGGAGATTGAAGGTAACAGTTATCGCAGACGTGATTACTTCGGTCTATTCGATGTTCGAAGAAACTCGCGACCGTGCATTGAGCTGTAGATATCCAAGATAGGAATTCAGGGGATTGCGTATTTAAGGGTTGACTACTACGTGATGCCCCTTCAGAAGAGGTCATCTCGATATAAAGAATTACAAGGTTGTGTTTCGGAAGATATAAACGGAAAAATCTGGCAAAATTTCGAAACAGTGACCGGAGTGAGTCAGAGTTATTAAACGATAACGGTCAATTGATCGTTCGGCTACCTCGTGTTCAGTTAAGAGTTTTAGATGTTCTTGTGTGCAGACGTAGCACTGAGATAGGGATTTTTCGGTTAGGACACTGTTCCCACAATCGTAGCAATTGGCGTGAATTTCAATACCGTTTCTGACGAAATGCGAGAATACATGCTGATATGCGAATCCAAGTCCAGAGTAGGATTTTATCACAAAGCAATTATCACAGAGATAGTAGTCTCCGTTTGTCAAGATGTGGCACGTCAATTTTGAGCACCAGGCAATTCTCAGATGTAGTAGCGAGGTTGCCGATGGTGGTGATGTCAGATATATTGGGTGTGGCCGTTTGCGATGCCAGCACATCTGTAACACATCAAATGTAATATTACATTAATATCATCCGGGGTCAACGTGTGCCCTCTTCAATTTGTCCATGTGTACAATGCGTGTTTTATTGTTAACCTGCAACTTAACGTTATTATTAGGTAAAACTTCAACGATCTGATACGGTCCGCAATATTGGTCCGCAAATTTACCCTTTCGTGGTTCCTTTAATAAGAATGCATAAGAACCTACTTCGAAATTTTGGGAGTTTATTCGTTTGTCATAGTAATACTTGCTTCTTTCCTTTGCCTGGATCAAATTTAGTCGTGCTTCATGCTGCGTATTATATAATTTATTAAAAAGATCGGTTAAATAATCTTGATAGGTAATTTTTAAATTTCCTTCGATAGGAATATGTGCGGAGGGTAACCGGGCTAGTCGACCGAAAACTAGTTCAAAAGGTGAGTATTTGGTTCCTTCATGAACACTCGTATTGTAAGAAAATATGGCTAAATCAATATACTCATCCCATTCCCTTTCATTATCAACCTGAGTTCGTAGATACTCCATCAAAACGTGATGAGATCTTTCAATAGATCCGTTCGATTGGGGATGATAAGCTGTAGTGTTGTATGTTAAATTTCTTCGTTAAATTCCTCATAAGTGCAGATAGAAAATTTGTTCCTTGATCTGTAAGTATGGCCTTAGGGGCGCCGTATATACAAATAAACTTTTTAGCAAATGCGTTAGCAATCGATAGAGAAGTTGCGATATCGAGAGGTATTGCTACAGAGTACTTGGTTAACAAATCTTGAATTGTTAAAATATATTGATTTCCTTTATCAGTGATGGGAAGCGGTCCCATTATATCCAAAGCTACCTTATCAAAAGCAGATCCGGGGGTATCGGTGATTATCATGGGTTGCTTAGTCTTAACTCTTGTCAGTTTCCTTAGTTGACACTGTCGACATTTCCTGATAAATTCTTGTATATCCTTTTTCATGGTCTTTCAATAATAATTTATTCTTATCCTATTATAGATCTTTGTTACTCCCTTATGTCTGCCGTGCGCAGACGTATGATTTTCATTTATCAGTGCTTCTCGTTCTCCTGGCTCAGGAGTGTGTATTAAATTTTTACATATGGTTATTTTTACAGGCACCTCTTCAAAGTGATCTCGAATTCTTCTCAGTATGTAGTGCCATTGTAAATCATCGAAAGAATCGGTTTTGTTCATACTAAAAGATTCTAGTTGGAGTTCCTTTATTTTTGTGGATGCATTAGTAATGCACTTGACGTGCATTACAATTTTTATGGATACATTTGGTTTTTTTGGAATTATCCACAAGGGAGAGTTGTATGAGCAATCAGAAGGAGGGGTTACGTCGTTTTCTAGGAGGGTTTTCACTTGTTTATTTACTTCCTCCTTGTGGATCGGTTGGAGCGATATTGCTTGGTATTGATAGGATGTTTGTCTGTGGTGGTACTGTGTTGTATACGGTTCGTGAAACCGAGTTTATCGCTGGGAATTTAGAAAAGGTCATATCATTGCTGTTATTTTGGTTAATCTGTATTCATTGATTTTACCAGTGGAGAACTTCAGAAGAAAATGCTTCTTGTTTTGGTGAAGTTTGAGGGAAAGGTTTTTAGGGAATTAACCCCACGTGTTGTGCATCTCTTAAGACGGTTTGTTACTCCGCAAAGGCTTGATCGAGCAGAATCCGAGCTGCTCTCCGGGCTGCTTGGCGGGCTGTTACGTGCCGCGACGCAACGACGCCGCACGTTATCGATAGGTCCTCTTCAGTTCCTAAGCTGACCCTATGTTTGGGTCCGTAACCTAATATGCCTAACCGTAATAAACATAAATACTTATACCCTTTGGTATCTACTGTTTACTTAATATAAACGCTCCACCCGCGAGACTCTAAACGAAGATCTCTCTTGAGCGAACAGTTAGTTCTGTGTCGTCTCTCGTAGCGAATACACCTCGCTTTATAATTGTCCAGAATAAAGTATTTCGTAAGTGAACAGTTGTCGATTTACTTCTATACCTTACGTGGCTTTAACTCGTAACAGGGCGCGCCTGGTTCGACGATTCCGCAAGGTGGCTTGCTGGAGTCATGCAGTGAAAGACAACACTTTACGCAGCTGAATTAATTCCACTTTAATTATTTAATTACATTTTGGGCTCAGTATCAACGTAAGGCCTAAATCTAAAGAGTTATCTCAAGTCGAAAATGTCCTTTATGTATTGTATATCTCGCAAGATACAATAAGACGTGCATTACAATTTTTATGGATGCACTTGACGACATTTGTAGTTTTTGTTTAGGAATATGATTGAACAATATCGTTTGACAAAGTTTAAATCTTAACGAGCGACACTGAATAATTCACTAGAAATATTTTTAGCAATGCCATGCGTTTAATAATGCAAAGTATGCTCAAAAAGAATTAAGCAAAAAAAGTATTAAATACTTAGTTTTGTTATTTTAGTATTGTAGATTTTCACTTATAAAAATAAATTTGCGAAAATCAACATCGCAAGAAGGAGAGATATATCGGCCGTGGATCTCTGTTCAACTTATGGGCAGTCCCCTTCCATGTATGTAAGTTCTATGGTTCGACATCAATTTTCGATATTCGGGGGATAATGCGGTACTTGTAGATTGCAGGTGGTTCAGCTGGTGGGGCTGGTGCTTGTGTAGGTATATCATAGAAACGAGAGATAGAAAAAAATGTTCGGACACTTCCGTGTTCCCTTGTCAGTATATGGATGGAGCTTATTTTTGTGGATGCATTTGTAATACACTTGACGTTTATTACAATTTTTGTAGAGGCATTTGTAATGCATTTGATGTGCATTACAATTTTTATGGATACATTTGGTTCTTTTGGAATTGTCCACAAGGGAGAGTTGTATGAGAGTCAGAAGAAGGGGTTACGTCGTTTTCTAGGAGAGTTTTCACTTGTTTATTTACTTCCTCCTTGTGGATCGGTTGGAGCGATATTGCTTGGTATTGATAGGAT